TAAAATACCTAATTCACAACACATGAAGTTTGGACTCTTACTATCCACATTTTACAGACAGCAAAACCATAGTTTAGCTACAGTAGTTAACCTCAAGGTCACAGTGAGTTACTAAGAATGGGTCCATGTGTAGTGAGGATTTGTATAGTTCCTTTTCAATTTAGATCTGTAAATTATCTGTGTAACCCCTTAGGGGGCTTGTGCCTGGAAAAGACTCTTCCTGTCCTTTAATTACCTCCAGCTTTTCATCTAGACCAGGTTCTAGGAGATACCCCATCTACAGTGGCATGACATGGCAACTGGTGGTGTCATTGTTCAAGTCTAGTTTAGCTGACGATTTTGGTTGGTGACTTCGATAAAACAAATGCAAATGAGCAACACTAAGTGGACTCGGGAGGCTCTATTTGCTTATCCATGTGATACACACATACATACACAATATGTAACTGATAACTAAAGAAGAGGTTGTGAATTTGAGAGACTGATGGGACATGGGAGGAGTTGTAAAGGGGACGGGGAGAGGTGGAGATGTTGTTAATGCAGTACTCATGAAATTCCCAAAAACAAATAATAAAGACCACATGCAGAGAGGAGTTTGTACAAGAAAGAATGAAGGGATTATTTATTTTTCTAAAACTTGTTCCTTGGCTCTACATACATATCTGCCTTGTATTTAGTATTAAGAAAATAAGAGAAAGGAGCCATCGGGCAATTAAAAAAATGAGGCACAGTCTCAATGTCTTACATGGAAGAAATACGAGGCGGGCCTTCCACTTGCTGGCATTCTGGAAGAACAAAACACAGAAGAGTAAAGAACAGTGATTGCCAGAGGGTGTGTGTGAAGGTGTGAGCTCAGGAGGGGTGAGCACCTGGCTTAGCTCTTTAGTCATGCATTTGCTGACATGCATAGACTGTACAGGACCAAGACGGGCTCTGAGCTCTGGGCGATGATGCCTCTGTTGAGCTGTCACCACCCCTTTGTGAAGAACTTGTGCGCCAAAGCTGCTCTAGAAAAGAAACCATTTACAAATGTAACTGTTATGTGGAAGGTATACCGTGTGAACACCCATCAAGAGAAAACCACAACACCAACATGCATTTCAGACAGAATTGACTTCAGAACAAGGGATATTACCAGGGACAAAGAGCATGAAGTGAACTTAAAGTACTAGGCAGTGATATCTGTTTGTAGTTATACAGCTTACGAGAGACCTGTTAGTTTCAGGGCTGGTCTAGTGCACACTGTGTGAAAATTCGCAGTGTGGATAGAACAGTAAAAACTTCACTGTCGCCAGATGAAACTGGCTGTATTGTTAGCAGTTGTAAGTTTTCTTTATGAACTTTCTTCTACTCACTAGAAGCTGCATGTTTTTCCTATTATTGCACAGATGCATGCTGACACTTAGAGGAAGCATAGTCAGACACTCCGCTTCACTGATAAAACCAAAATCCTTGAAAATGCTCTGGGAAAGTATGAACTGTAATGAAAGTTCCATCGCTCTACACTTGGGATGTATTTTTACAGGTTTCCTAAATTTATATTTGCTGTTGCTAAAGGATACATTTCTAGAAGCCTCGGGGCTCCTATTATTAAAATTCAGCAATTGTGTTATTTGTTAGTAACCATATCATCAAAACACAAGGGGGCTGGAGGCCCAGCCTAAACAGCACCCAGGCACACACTTGTCTAATAATCACACCTGGTTTGGAATTTGATTAGAACAGTCTGAAATAAGTTTGTATTCCTAGTTGCATTATCTCATGGTCATTTGAATATATTCAGTGTTTTCTGTGGGGGACCTTGTAAGAAATAACAGTAAAAGAAAATCTTTCCATTATTTTCCTGGAACAGCATCAAAATTTGCTATCTGCCTCAACATATCTGGCCTTGCACTCTTCAGAGGAAGTGAGTGTACAATCTCTAAGTAATGCCTGGGTATATATCTGTCTGCAGTCCAGTGATGAAGCACTCAGATCAAGTCCAGTGTCCTTTCACCCACTGAAATACATTGGCAATGGAAACTGCGCCATACCGGGTGCCCACCCTTTCTGGTCAGCTGTAGTCTAGTAGACCAGCCATGGGAGGAGGAGGAAGTTGGTAGCAGTGGTGATGGTGATGGACTTTGCAAAGTTCCCAAATGTTGTAGAGACCAGACTACAATGATGGAAGGGTTTGGGGGGTGGTGTTTGCTTTTGTTTTTCTACAGTGTTTTCCACACTGTAGGCATGGACCCTTTAGTCCAGTCGTTTTCAACCTTCCTAATTCTGTGACCCTTTAATACAGTTCCTCATGTTGAGGTAAAATAATTTTCATTGCTACTTTAATTTTGCTAACATTATTAATCATAAAGTAAATATCTGGTATTTCTGAGGGTCTTAGACCTCCCCTCTGAAAGGGTTATTAGACCTCGAAGAAGTCTAGACCCACAGGTTGAGAACTGCTGCTTTAGTAGGTCAAGATGGTTTAGCAGGTCAGGAATCTGCACGCCAGGGTGCCAAGAGTCACGATGTAAATGTATTTCTTCATTTAAAGCAACAGGCAAACATGCGGCTGCTGACCTGGTAAGTATGTGTTCCCTGCCCGGCCACCCCTTCCAGCTGAGCTGTTCCAAACACATAGGTGATAGCAAATTCTATCTAGCTGGGCTAAATTTATCAGTCTTTGAAATGTAAAACATTCGAGAGTGCTCACTGCAGCTGATTGGAGAGACATCCTTTTAACTTGGGTTTCTGGTGCACATCATGTGCTTGGAGAGGAGGGAGTGCTGAACTCCAGCACATATTTCAGCGCATTCTTGGCACACACACTACTGTAGACTCGTTGGCTATGCCCTCCCTCCCCCAACACAGGAGTCTGAAAAAAAAATATGACAGCTCCGTTTTAATTGCTTTCATGATCACTGTGCATGCAAAAACCCTATTTTCATCAATTATTTATTTTGTTAACCTTAAACCATTTTTAATGGTGGAAAGGACAAGAAACAAGTTGTAGTTTTATTGAAACTTTAAAAGGCCCATGAAGACATCTAAAAATTACTCTGAACACTCTGCTTGTACTCTTCTGTAACAGTCATTTTAAAATAACAATCTCAGGTTGATGATAGTCTACAGGAAACACATGAACTGAAACACTGCATTACCTTCATGCAGGAGTTGTCAGGAGCTGACTCTCGGAATTCCATCAACACTTCCAATCACTGCTTTTGCTTTCGCATATAAAAATAACAGTATATTTTGAAGTATTTGGTTATCAAGGGATTGTTTTTTAAGTATTGAAACACAGGAATCACAGACTAGTTTCAAATGTTAGGATTGTTTACAGTAGTTGTTTTTGCCTTTCTATGGGCAAAAGTTACTTACATTTGGTTGCTTATTTTCACAGTGAAGGTTTTTGTAGCCTTGTGATTTTACTTTAGATGACATCCAGAAAAGATTTAAGGTATTTTATGGTATCTTCAGGAGGATATTTTAAGCGTTTTTGTTGTTGTTTCTGTTTTTCTTTTATGTAAAGGCCTGTTTTATTGTAATAATTCAGTGGGTGTATTACACACCCACATTTGCCTTGTTCTCAGCTTACTTTTTTTATATTATTAATTGGCTATGCCTAGTTCTCATGCTTAAATGAAAGCAGGGGTCAAAAATGAAGTTCAGTGTTGACTGAAAGCCAAACTTTATATGAGAAGTGTTTGTTCAGGGAGCAGAATTTATAGCATCAAACTCAAAAGTAGACCAGTGTGCTGCACGACTATGAATCAGATAACAAAACCTTGCCAGCAGAAGACACGTGTTGTGTCAAGTATTGTTAAAAGTGTTCAGGCAGGCAGTTGTTCCTTTGTGGAAGTCAAATTGCCTCTTAATAAATTGAATTTTCTCTATTGCATCCAGTTAATACACACTTACTTGGGGCCTACTACTTGCTACATACTACTAGGCTGTTAGAATCTTTAGTCTATTCTAGTGGGTGATATCAACAGTTCATTGTTAGATAATAAATCCATATGATGGAAACTGTTACAGCTCTTCATTTCCATAATAATTAAGTTAAACCCCAGAAGTATAAATTTTAATGTTTTCTTCTATAAGTTCTATACTATTCCAAAACATGATAATGAATAATAGCTCTTTTAACGAAGAAAACCCCATTATTAAAAGGATCCACTTGTCATCCTATTATAGAGATTCATGGAATCCCAGTTACTGAATGCTGAACATTACCTTGGAGCAACAGCTGAATCTTCTAAATGTACATTTAATTAAAGACCTGGACTCTCAGTTGAAAATCTTCTCTGAGAAAGATGCAAACATTTCATGTTTCCAAACAGTATACTGTTACTAAAACTTTAATCTCAGTTGCTGAAGGAATTTCTGAAACAGAGTAATCCTGTTGCTAAGATATTAAAGTCATTTCTTTCCTACTCTTCAGTAAGTCATTAACCATTTGTTTCTTTTTATTCTGAGAGAGAGAGATTTGGGAGGAGAAGTTAGACAGTCCAATTTCAGTGGAATGTAGAATTAAATGCCATCAAATCTTGCTTTAGTGTCTTTTCCATAAGATGGCCAGTAGTCTGGGATATCTTAGCATGCATTGGTATTTTCTAAAAATCCTGCTGCTGCTCACAGAGACTTTAGCAGCTTGTAGTGTTTGTAAGTATTTATATTTACTTTGAATGTTTACTATAAATGCATCCTGATATTCTCTTAGTGGTAGGATTTATTACAGTATATATTTAACTACTATATAATTGTAGGTCCAAATAGGATGTCCTTTGAACTTATAAATTATACTAAGTTTAATTTTGTTACATTGCTGAATTTAACCTAACTTGACTTCTGGCTCCCTGCAGTGCTCATAGCTGTGTCATTTGCCGTATACTTTGTAAAGAAAGTACTGACTGTATAAAATATGTGATCTCATACATTGCTATAAGTCTGTAAAAGTCCTGATTACATGTAAGCTTAAGGTTGGAGAATAATTTGTTTGTTTGTTTGTCTGTTTTAAGGTGATGGATGTGGACACACTGTACTAGGTCCTGAGAGTGGAACCCTCGCATCCATCAACTACCCACACACCTATCCTAACAGCACCGTGTGTGAATGGGAGATCCGAGTAAAGATGGGAGAAAGAATTCGCATCAAATTTGGTGACTTTGACATTGAAGATTCTGATTCTTGTCACTTTAATTACCTGAAAATCTATAATGGAATTGGAGTCAGCAGAACAGAAATAGGTAGGACATTGATGTATGTTATATATTGTTCCTTTAAGTTTTAAAACCGACAGGTTTTTTGATATTTAATATTGAATAACTGGTATATAAAATGACGTGAGAAATTATAGGAAATATAGAAATCTCAAATCAAATCTTCTTTTGGGAAGGGGAGATTCTCATCTGCTGATTAGCACATTGCTACCTTAGTACAAGACAGATGTGGCTACCTTCTTACAAAATGAACATGGTTACCTTCCTGCAAGATGCACATGACAGCCTTCTTGCAAGATGTGCATGGTTACCATTTTTTGCAAGATGCCAGGTGGTTACCTTTCTACAAGATGTATATACTACCTTCTTACAGGCTACACATGGCAACCTTCATACAAGATGCATATAGTTGCCTTCATGTAAGATGCACTTGGCTACAAAAATGTACATAGTTGGTTACCTTCTTACAAGATGCGCATGGTTACCCTCATGTAAGATACACTTGGTTACATTCATGCAGGATGCCACTGTGCTGCTTCTAAGAAGGTATAAGGTAATTCTCTTATTTTTTTTATGTTTTCCTTTGATCATTTTATTTGTAGTCAGAGGGTGCAGATATGATTCATGCATACTTAGGAGGAAGTATAGCATGCAGATCGTGGGTTTAGAATCAAAACTGTTTTGGATAAAAGCCTAAGTCTGCTGTTAGCCAGCTATAATCTGTTGAGAGCACCTAACCTGTTTTCTCCCATATGCCTGTGTATATGCAGAGTGCCTGGAATGGTGTGTACTGCATAATGGAGAATATAACAGTGATTGTATTTCCAGTGTGAGAGCAGTGGTTCTCAATTAGAGCTGTGTAACAGAGTCACCTGGGAGACTTAAAAACAAACCGTAGACCTGCTTTCCATCCGAGACCAACAAACTGAAATTGATTGTGTGAGACAGAAGCCTCAGAATTATAAATGCTCTCCAGGAAAATTGACTTTGCCACCAAGATTTAGAAGTTTGGCTTAGAGATCAGTGCCATTCTCTTAAGAAACCTGAAAACTTTATAAAGGTTTTAGTGAACTGACACAAAGTAAAGCGCTATCTTGACTTCTCTGAGTTTATTTGGAAGCATTTATTGGAATCAATACATACAGGAGTTTTCAGAATTATAATAGGAAGCTGCTGTCTTGTTCTTTGACTGTCCAGCTTGTGGTCATCCACTGACCTCTCCACCTCTAGCCACATCTTCATCCCAACCCATTTGCTGGCTACTGATTGGTAACCTCTCTTGTCCCCCTGAAAAGTCCTGATTGACCTGTAGCTTGAGTAGCTCCTGCTGCCATTAGCGTGTGATGTTGGATAAGGTTGTCGGGACCTAGACCAGCTGTGAATGTAGCGCTAGTGGAAGACGTGTGGATAGTGCCTTCTGAGGTCTTGGAGGAGTAGACAGTAGTACTCTGTGAGCATTGAAACAGCAGTGAAAAGGGAATGCCGGCTACCACTTCATAGGCCATAGAAGAGATGGAAAAATAAATTATACATACTTACGAAGGACTAAGTTAATGGGAGGTTCTAGAGAAACAAATGGCCTCATTTGGTTCACATACAATAGCATTTAAAAAAGAAAAAGCAGGAGGAAGAGTAAGTGAGAAGGAGAAGGAGGCTGAAAGAAATGTTTGGGTTTTGATTATTCTGATTGAAGATAACTAATTTTAAAAAGATTTTTTCAGTTAAATTTTGTTTACGTTTTTTGTTCTTAATATGTTAATTGAAATAGAATTTCATCACTTCTCTCTCTTTCCTCCCTCCAGTCCCCCCCCCACTCTAGGAGAAAATCTCTTTTGTTTAAGTGTGTGTGTATTTGTGCATGTGTGTGTGTAAAGCCTGTTGAGTGAGTTTTTCTGTTTGCACGTATACGGCTTTTCAGTGCTGACTACTCTGTATTGGATAACCAATAAGGCGGTTCATCCCTGGGAGAGTTCAGTTTTTCTCCTTTCAGCGGTCATCATAGCCTGAAATTCTTTGTCTGGGTTGAGACCCCACAAAATCTCTTCCCTTCCACATTAAAATATCCATTGATAGTTCCATTGCTCTGGTCTAGTTTGTGCAGCCGTTTCTAGGAGAGACTGTTTCACCACATTCTTCCTGGTATTCCGGCCCTTAGAACCTCTCTGCCCCATCTTCCACAGGGTTTCCTGAGCCATAAATGCAGGAGCTGTCAGGTAGATGGAACCACCGGGGCTGAGCTCCCCACAATCCCTTGATGTCTGCGTGTTGTTCAGTTGTAAGTTTTGGGGTGATAGCCACTTTCCATAAAGAGAGACTTCTTTGATAAGAGGTAGCTATACTTATCTGTGCTTGTAAGGATAAGATATAGAATGGAATCAGGAATCACACTGGTGTAGCCAAGTGGCAATGGTGCATTCTTTTCTAAGATCCATGAACTCACCGGCCTCAGGAAGCTGACTGGCTTTCCAGTACTAGGTATGATGTCCCTCCTGTTGAGCGGGCTGTACGTTCCATTAGACAGCTGTTGACTGTCACAGACACATGAGTGATACTTACTGCACCTTTGTACATATCCTCCATGCTGCAACTGTCCTGGTTCATGGATGTTGCATCTGGGTGGGACCATTTCATTGCTTTGCTCCCTTGACAGCTTGCATAGTATTTTCTGAAAACACAGGCACTACATCATAGGAAAGAGGTTTTTAGGGCAGATCAGTCTGAGTCATCTGAATCCTGGGTCCTAATGTAGTATCCAAAATGGCAGAGAAATTTTGGAGGCATTGCTCATTCACTGATAATACACAATGATGGTTTTAGAGGTGAAAATGGTTTAAAAGTATTTCTTTGAGAAACGATGCTAGGGGAGGGATAAGCCGAACAAAGGGATCAATTAGGAGCTACGATTCTAATATTTGTGTGTATTTTTGGAAGTTTTCATGGTAGCATTTTTTTAAAATAAAACAAGATAATTCTGTGTTTGAAAAATGAGTCATGGTCTTGTGAACTAGCACCCATTTTGATACGGAAACGTAGGTTTTGGGTTTTATAAGTGTTAATTTTGTTTTCCCTAAGAAATAGTGGCCTGGAATAATCAGTTAAATGAAACAAATAGAAGTAGAGTTTCTAGAGGTTTGGTGTCTTAAATCATGTCCTTAGGATGTGTCCAACTGACAAGGCATTGGTTTATTTTGCAGCTGGGCAGTTCTTGTTTTCTTTAATATGCTCCTAGGGGCATTACTTGATTTCTGAGTTGCTCAACAGTGGCATTTTTGGAATAACTCTCTGTAGTAGTAGTACTCTGAATAGAAACATTGTGGCGTGTTTGATGACAGAGTTTTATTTGGCTTTCCAGATCTGAATTCTGCAGACTATATTAGAATACGAAAAAAAATTAAGCCAGGGCATATACTTTTTTATTTTTTAATCCTTAATAAGGCATAGGACATCGTAGATTTATCTTGCCTAGACCTTACAGTTCATTATTTTTTAATGAAATCTTTTGTTCAGTCAATGTGGAATGTAATTAGAAATCAGTGTCTTTTTTTTAGGTCTGAAATGGTGGGTCACTATACCCTCTACACGCAGACTCTGTGATTGGTGTGTGGGTATGCATATGCGTGTATCTGTCAATACTTGTAGTGTACAGCTTTTTTGCTTCTCTAACTGTACTTATTAAACATGTTGAGATTTGTAATCTTTATCCAATACTTATTAGTTGGTTCATTCCATCCTTTTCTGTGTGTATTGTAACACACTTCTCTCTAGCTCTCCTTGTCCTTTTGTTCAAAGCTCAAACCAAAAAGTTCAGAATTGTTGAAGCTTTGCTTTGTTGAAAGTGTTTAGCTTTTTGACACTTTCAAATGACATTGACCTTAACAAAGTTCATGTTCTAGAACTGTACAATGGAGTTACAAAAGCAAAACTCTCATAAGGTCTTAAATAAGATCCTGGAGTGTGGGCTGCAGGGTGGCATTACCTTCAGGAGACTGCTACTTATAATTATTTGTCTGGAGTCTTCCCCTGAGGGAATGCTGTCTGCCCACTGAGTTTTTAAAAAAAAGGAAAAGGGGAAGGAGAAGAAAGAAACCCCTTTCTCCTCTGTTCCAGACCTTCTGTGTGGGAGTTATGCATTTGAGGTATGCCTTGTTTCAATTGTGTGTCTTCTTAAGGATTATTCCAAGTTTTGATATCTCCCACAAAAGTTTATTTTTCTAGAAAAGCTTTGAAAGTGCTTTCTTGGTGTGCTATGCATGCTTCCCTGCTGCTTGGCAACAGTTCTGGTTTTACACGTGCCGTCCCTCTGCTTTTTAGACTAACTTGGTTGTCATGGAGACTTCCCACTATCCTTATAGAAACTGTGAGCTGTAGAAGAGCCAGTACCTTCAAGCAACACCTTTTTGGGAGATTTTACCAAGAAATTCAAACAGAATATGAATTTCACTTTTAGTCAGAAGTTTGTTGGTTTTCCAGAAGATAACTCTTTCTTGTTTGATCTTTGGAGGCAGGGTCTCATAATGCTTGAGGTTAGCCTCAAGCTTGGAATGATTTTTCCTGCCTCAGCCTCCTAAGTGCTGGATTATAGGCATGTGCCACCAAACTAGCTTTTCATAAAATAATTGCATTTATTTCTGTGTGCACATAGGTGTGTGTGTGTGTGTATGTGTGTGTGTGTGTGTGTGTGTGTAAGCATGTACACAGAGATCAGAGAAGGACTTACATGGATTTGTTTTCTTTTTCAACCATGTGAATGTATAGGCCCTAACTCAGGTCATCAGACCTTGACAACAATTGCCTTTTCCTGCTGGGCATCTTGCCCGGCTCAGAAATTACCATTTAAATCACTGTTAGAGTGGAAGCTTAACAAGAGAGGGGCAAAGTCTACTTCACAGAGTGTGATAGGGCAAATCAGCCTCACTTAGTGAACACTTTGGATGACACTTTGGTCTGTCCTGTTAGTGTATCTGCATGCCCCAGTCAGCTGCCGTTCCTAGAGAGAATATTTCAGGAGGCAATTATACTTACAACCA